AACGGAATGCACCGGGCCATCAGCCCCCTCCCCATCCCTGTGTGGAAATGAAGATAAATGCGATACGTTTCATTTCCCGGGGGTCGATTTCACTTTCCGTTCTGCATTCTCCGGTGACTGACGGCGAAAAAAAAATCTCGCCACGAGCCAAAAGAAGAGAAACTTTCGTCGACTTCCTGTTGCTTCTGCTCGGTTCGGTCTCGGTCCGGTCATCAGTCTCCAATCCCCACGAGTTCATTCATTCAGTTGTCGTTGAATGATTTATAAATAAATATCAAGTCCCAAGTGGATGATGGCTGTGTTTGCCTTTCTGCCCTGGCGTCACACGGGAAATCTACTTTAAGGCACACGCAATGCGCCCGAACTTATGCAAACTTTACAAACAAACAAAAATTAACACCAGATGACAGCACTCTTCACGGGGACTTAATTACCCGTTGCTGCTCCAGTGAGCTCAGCGAGCTCTATTTATTATCGTTCAATTAATATAATTTATTGGAATTTATCATCATTATCCGGTGGAATTTCCCGGGCGCGATGATAAAAGCCAGCGAAAACCGGGCAAACGCTGGGCGACGTCGTGGGGGGTAGAAAATTCCTAAAATTTTAAAACACTTTGGCCACAGCGCGCCATCTGCTGGGCGGTCGGTCGGTCGACTGTGGATTATTATTATTAAACATGATTCGATTCGGAGTTAATTTTAATTAACTACCCCTTCCCTTCGCGGAAAATCGCTGAAAATCCCTTGGCCGTCGCCGTTGTTGTGCGATAATTGATTATTATCATTAATTTTTCGACAGCAGCAGATTTGGTTAATTGAAAGCGGCAGCTTTTACGACGACCGGGGATTTTCCAACGACGAGGGTGGATGGATGGATGGATTTTCAAACGACGACAACGTCGAAGCGAGCGGTCCCGGCTGACAGGTGGACTTAATTGATGAAATTTTTCGCCCGCCGAGCGATGACCGATCGATGAACGAGCGGGGTTTCGGTGTGATGAAATGGTTGGGGTTTTTTTTTTGGCGAAGAAAACGGATCATTTTTGAGGGGGAAAAGCAGAGATTTTCAGGGAATATAATCACCAGAGAAAACCTTGAAGAAGTAAATGAAGTTTTAAAGCGATTCGTTGAAGCTCAGACAAAAGTTAAAGCGAATCATGTTAGAGAAGCTTAAGGAAAGTTCAAAGAAATTGCTTCAGGAAAGTTCAAGAGAAGCACTGCAAAGAAGCTTAAGGAAAGCACTCGAGAGACGCTCAATAAAATCATTTCAGAGAATGTCAAAAGAAACACTTCAGAGAAGTTCAAAAGGAACTTCAGAGAAACTCAAAAGGAACCTCAGAGAAGTTCAAAAGGAACTTCAGAGAAGATAAAAAAGAACTTCAGAGAAGTTCAAAAGGAACTTCAGAGAAGTTCAAAAGGAACTTCAGAGAAGTTCAAAAGGAACTTCAGAGAAGTTCAAAAGGAACCTCAGCGAAGTTCAAAAGGAATTTCAGGGAAATTCAAAAGGGACTTCAGAGAAGTTCAAAAGGAACTTCAGAGAAGTTCAAAAGGAACTTCAGAGAAGTTCAAAAGGAACTTCAGAGAAGTTCAAAAGGAACTTCAGAGAAGTTCAAAAGGAACTTCAGAGAAGTTCAAAAAGGAACTTCAGAGAAGTTAAAAAGGAACTTCAGAGAAGTTCAAAAGGAACTTCAGGGAAGTTCAAAAGTAACTTCAGGGAAGTTTAAAAGGAACTTCAGGGAAGTTCAAAATGAACTTCCGAGAAGTTCAAAAGGAACTTCAGAGAAGATAAAAAAAAACTTCAGAGAAGTTCAATGTGAACTCCAGAGAAGTTGAAAAGGAAATTCAGAGAAGTTCAAAAGGAACTTCAGGGAAATTCAAAGGGAGCTTCAGAGAAGTTCAAAAAGAACTTCAAGGAAGTTCAAAATGAATTTCAGGGAAGTTCAAAAGGGACTTCAGGGAAGTTCAAAAGGAATTTCAAGGAAGTTCAAAAGAAACTTCAAGAAAGTTCAAAAGAAACTTCAAGGAAGCTCAAAAGAAACTTCAGAGAAGTTCAAAAAAAACTTCAGAGAAGTTCAAAAGGAACTTCAGAGAAATTCAAAAGGAACTTCAGAGAAGTTCAAAATGAACTTCAGAGGAGTTCAAAATGAACTTCAGAGAAGTTCAAAATGAACTTCAGGGAAGTTCAAAAGGAACTTCAGGGAAGTTCAAAAGGAGCTTCAAGGAAGTTCAAAAGAAACTTCAAGGAAGTTCAAAAGAAACTTCAATTAAGCTCAAAAGAAACTTCAGAGAAGTTCAAAAAGAACTTCAGAGAAGTTCAAAAAGAATTTCAAGGAAATTCAAAATGAACTTCAGAGAAGCTCAAAGGGAACCTCGGAGAAGTTCAAAAGGAACTTCAGAGAAGATAAAAAAAAACTTCAGAGAAGTTCAATAGGAACTTCAGGGAAGTTCAAAAGGAAATTCAAAGAAGTTCAAAAGGAACTTCAGAGAAGTTCAAAAGGAACTTCAGGGAAGTTCAAAAAGGACCTCAGGGAAGTTCAAAGGGAGCTTCAGAGAAGTTCAAAAGGAACTTCAGGGAAGTTCAAAAGGAACTTCAGGGAAGTTCAAAAGGAACTTCAGGGAAGTTCAAAAGGAACTTCAGGGAAGTTCAAAAGGAACTTCAGGGAAGTTCAAAAAGGACTTCAGGGAAGTTCAAAGGGAGCTTCAGAGAAGTTCAAAAGGAACTTCAGGGAAGTTCAAAAGGAACTTCAGGGAAGTTCAAAAGGAACTTCAGGGAAGTTCAAAAGGAACTTCAGGGAAGTTCAAAAGGAACTTCAGGGAAGTTCAAAAGGAACTTCAGGGAAGTTCAAAAGGAACTTCATGGAAGTTCAAAAGGAACTTCAGGGAAGTTCAAAGGGAGCTTCAGAGAAGTTCAAAAGGAACTTCAGGGAAGTTCGAAAGGAATTTCAGGGAAGTTCAAAAGGGACTTCAGGGAAGTTCAAAAGGAACTTTAGGGAAGTTCAAAGGGAGCTTCAGAGAAGTTCAAAGGGAGCTTCAAGGAAGTTCAAAAGGAACTTCAAGGAAGTTCAAAAGGAACTTCAGAGAAGTTCAAAAGGAACTTCAGAGAAGTTCAAAAGAAACTTCAGAGAAGTTCAAAATGAACTTCAGGGAAGTTCAAAATGAATTTCAGAGAAGTTCAAAAGGAACTTCAGAGAAGTTCAAAAGGAACTTCAGTTAAGCTCAAAAGGAACTTCAGAGAACTTCAAAAGGAACTTTAAAAGAAACTTCAGGGAAGTTCAAAATGAATTTCAGAGAACTTCAAAAGAAACTTCAGGGAAGTTCAAAATGAATTTCAGGGAAGTTCGAAGGGAGCTTCAGAGAAATTCAAAGGGAGATCCTGGAAGTTCAAAGGGAGCTTCAGAGAAGTTCAAAAGGGACTTCAGAGACGTTCAAACGGAACTTCAGAGAACTTCAAAAGGAACTTCAAGGAAGTTCAAAAGAAACTTCAAGGAAGTTCAAAAGAAACTTCAGAGAAGTTCAAAAGGAACTTCAGAGAAGTTCAAAATGAACTTCAGAGAAGTTCAAAATGAACTTCAGAGAAGTTCAAAAGGAACTTCAGTGAAGTTCAAAAGGTACTTCAGAGAACTTCAAAACGAATTTCAGGGAAGTTCAAAAGGAACTTCAGGGAAGTTCAAAAAGAACTTCAGGGAAGTTGAAAGGGAGCTTCAGAGAAGTTCAAAGGGAGCTTCAGAGAAGTTCAAAAGGAAATTTCCCTACTCGTCAACTGTGTGTTGTGTGTTGCCGTTGTCTAGAGTTAAGTGTTCGGTTTGTAGAACCTCTGGTTGAAGACGGTGTCAATGGTCTTGAAAAAGATGACCTAAGAAACGATTAAATGTTTCCAATAACGGCATAGGAAAGTCCAAAACAGCCTGGAATCGCCAAAATAGAATCATTTGATACGAAAAACATCTGGGTGATAAGTACTGAATGAACAAATAATAGATCAATAAATTATGAACAGGACATCTTGAACCGTTCTTAAATGATTACTGAACTACATTATATTCCTGTTAAGTAAGTTTAAACGATGTAACAACAGCTTAAACTTAGCACGAGACAACACATAAGTATTGTTATCAATGTCCGTAGAGAAGTTACAATCAATTTACTAGTTAGTACAACTTTTTAAAGACCATCAAAAGCCACTCAATTGCTCATAATTTATCACTCTCACTCAGCTATAAATCCCCCTACCTCCCCCATCCATCGAGCGTATTGACTAACCATCCAACAGCGCTAATTGTCGTCACTCCAGAACTACCAATAAATTCCCCATCTCCGTCGTCATCCAGAACACGACGACAAACACGAATAAATATTAATGCCCGTCAAATTAGCACAACATAAACCACCCTTTTACGATCTCTCTATCAACCTAACTTCCCAACGCCCAAGCGCTAGCAGATTCAGTAGGAATCGGGAATCGAACTTTGTCTTGATTCGTGCTCCTTTTCCGCCTTCTATAAATCCCTCTCCTCATCCCCCAAAAAAATCTACCAACCAAACAATAAACGATGAATAAAACATCGCCCTTGCCTGCCCTGAACCCACCATCCCATCCCCGCACCGTTTGAACTTTTGATATCCTCGGCTCTAGGAGCTGCAACTTTCAACCATGCGAGTCTGGCTGTAAACAGCAATCACAGACAAACAATCGGTTCTCGAATTGGAAATTAAATGATAACATGATGAATTAAGCATCTTTCCTGGAATGGGCCCCGGGCCGAAGCCCTAGGCCTCCTTTTCCATTTGTTCGGCATGACGAAAAGCGTTTCTGTTTATCTATCATCAGAAGGCAATTTCGCTTCTTTGATGATCGCCGCACCGAGTTCTGGGCAGTTTATCTTAGATTTGGGCTCATTTTCCGCACGACCTGTCATCGTTGTCGTCCTTAATCTACTCGCTCTCTCTCTCTTAAAGTGTGTGTGTGTGTGATTTGATAACTCGAAGAAGAATACTTACTGATGGCACCCACGCCGATCACTGTGTTCGGTTCCAGCTTGGCCTTCTTGGTTGCCAGGTCCTGGTTGTTGTTGTCCGATGCCGGTGCCATGACTGCTGCCTGACTGAGGAGTTCGTCGCTACCTCGCTGCGAATTGGGAGAATGAGATAAAGAAGGAGGAAATTTTTAGTGAAATGGAAGCTTAGCTATTCAAAACGGGTGGAGGGAACTTGAGAGCCCAATTTGAATGCATAAAACATGTATGTACTTAAGTATTAAAAATCGCAATTTATCAATGCAAAACGAGATAGGTTAACTCTGGAGAAGTTCGCTGAAAAGCAAGGTTGAATTGGATTTCGTTCAAGTTTTAGTACTTTTTCACAATAATTTCGATTGAAAATATGGATAAAAGTAAAACAGCTTGTCTCACATGTTCGTATGACCTAGACCTAGAATTATGTAAATTTTGCTCTGAAACAATGAATTGTCGGCTCCGTAAGGCTAACGCGATTGAGTCTTTCAAATAAACGAACTAGATTAAAAAAAAATCCTTAAAACTGAAGATTTATAGAATTTAAGCAAAGTGTTGAGATAAAATAAGCAAGACACTTTCAGGCAATTAAAAATGCAACCGAGAGCAGTTTAGCAAAATGCTAAAAATACAAAGTAGTATTCTAGTACTACGAACCAAATTCAAACAATTCGTCATCAGACACCCTTCAAAGTCTGAGGAAATTTAAAGAATGCAAGACAATGAACCGATGTTTGGAAAATTTGGCAATTCTAGCATAAGTGTTAAATTTAGCATTTCTGGCATGAGTGTTTAAGAAAATCTAGTACTTTGAAAATGCTCAAACTGAGGAGAAAACAAAAGCTTGGATTTATTAAAAAAGTAAAACCATGCGTTCTAGTAATCCAGTGTACTTGAACTTTTTAAAACAAGTTTGATAAGTTCTTCTGCGGGAAGTTGATTTGTTTTAACAAAATCACTAAATTAATCTACGTGCAAAATAATGTATTCTAGTACTACATACATAACTGTCACTATGCTGGCCTGAACAGATTAAAACCAACTTGAAATAAAATTACCCGAGCAGTTTAATTATCTTCATATCTAGTACCTCATACTGGATTAAATTCAATTTTGAATGCTATCAAACAAATGACCCAAGCATAATCTAATCTAGTACCAAATAGAATTACTCATTTGTTCAGGAACTTTCTTACTGCAATTTTGATAAGTTCTTCTGCGGATAGTTTAATTGCTTTTACGAAACCATTACATTAATCTACGTGAAAGGATTGTGCAAAATAATTTATTCTAGTACTACCGAAATAATTGTCACAATGCTGGCCTAAGCAAATTATAACCAACCGGTGGAAACTAATGATTAAAAATGCGCTCACTACTTGACTAGCTTATTGGTCTCAAGTACTTCTATAAGCGTACCTCATTATAGTCGAAATTCTAGTACTACACTATGTTTGTTTTGATTCGTTGTGAAAGTTAGACAGATAAAATGAAAATAAATTGGATTTTCCTATGTTTCGAGGGGTTCATTGATTAGCTTGGGACCGAAGAGAGGACCAGAGATGAGCCAAAAAGTTGAGCACGTTTCTACGGGACCTTCTGGTCTTAGTGTTACCGCTATGTTAAAACCATCTCATGAAGCCTGATTCTTCAAATAAAATTACTGAAGCAGTTTAATTATCTCAACAACTCAACAATGTAGTACCTCATATTGAATTTAAGCCATTTGATTAATTTTGAATATTAAAAATAAGAGAAGAAAAAAACACCATATAATACGATCTAGTACCTCAAATTGCATTTAACTCATTTGTTAAGGAACTGTTTTACTGCAAGTTTGATAAGTTCTTCTGTGGAAAGTTTGTTTTTACAAAATTACAAAATTATTCTACGTGAGAGGCTTGAACAAAATAATGTATTCTAGTAATACATAAATAATAGTCAATATGCTGGCCAAAACAGATTAAAACCAAATCATGACAATTGGTACTTTAAATAAAATTAACTAAGCAATTTAATTACGTTCATATGATTCAATCTAGTACCTCATATTGAATTTAACTCATTTTATCAACTTTGAGTTAGTTCAGTCTACCACCTCAATAGGAATTTATATAATATGATCGACTTTGAGTTTTATCAAAAAATAATTACCGCAGCAGTTTAATCATAGAGGTAACTCTAAGACTAGAAGGTCCCGAAATAACGTGCTCAACTTTTTGGCTCAGCTCTGGTACTCTCTTCGGTCCCAAGCTAGTCGATTCACCCCTCGAAACATAGGAAAAACCAATAACGTCTCATTTTATCTGTCAAACTTTCATAGCAAATCAAAACAAATATTGCGTAGTACTAGAATGGGGTACGTTAATCGTTTGCTTGGGACTAATAGGCTAGTCAAGTAGTGAGCCAATTTAAAATCGTTAGTTTCGTATTGATTGTTGGTTTAATTATCTTCAGATAAGCAAATCTAGTACCTCATATTAAATTTAACTTATTTGATCTGGAAAGTTTATTTGCTTTTACGAAATTACTAAATCAAGCTACGTGAAAGGTTTTTACAAACTTATGTATTCTAGTACTGCAGAAATAGTTATCAATTTGCTAGCCTAAACAGATTAAAACCAACTTATGAAGACTGGTGCTTCAAATAAAATTACTGAAGCAGTTTAATGATCTTAATATAACCCAATCTAATACCTCCTGAATTTAACTCATTTGATAAATTTTGAATGTTATAAAAAATACCGCACAAGTTTAATTATCTTCATATAATCTAATCTAGTACCTAAATGAACTGAACTCATTAGTTCAGGAACTGTTGTACCTCAAGTTTGAAAGGTTCTTCTGCAGAAATTTTATTGGTTTTTTCGAAGTCATTAAATTAATCTGCGTGTGCAAAATAATAAATTCTAGTACTACAGAAATAATTGTCGCTATGTTGGCGTAAACAGATTCAAATTTTCTGAGGCATAACATCTCTGATCACGGGAACTAAAGCAGTTGGTCCCCGGTTCATGAGTTGATGGGTCGATAGGTAGGGTCCAGGTGTGGGACATGCTTCCCTGGCGTCGGTAGCATTGATGCTCAGCACGGAAAACAAGATTTTCCAGGTCTTCCAGGAGGAACGTCTTCCAGGAGGAAAGTCCTCCAGGAGGCAAGTCTTCCAGGAGGAAAATCTTCCAGGCGGAAATTCTTCCGGAGGAAAGTCGTCCGGAGGAAAGTTTTCCAGGAGGAAAGTCTTCCGGAGGATAGTCTTCCAGGAGGAAAGTCTTCCAGAAGGAAAGTCTTCCAGGAGGAAAGTCTTCCAGGAGGAAAGTCTTCCAGGAGAAACGTCTTCCAAGAGAAAAATCTTCCAGGATGAAAGTCTTCCAGGAGGAAAGTCTTCCAGGAGGAAAGTCTTCCAGGAGGAAAGTCTTTCAAGAGGAAAGTCTTCCAGGAGGAAAGTCTTCCAGGAGGAAAGTCTTCCAGGAGGAAAGTCTTCCAGGAGGAAAGTTTTCCAGGAGGAAAGTCTTCCAGGAGGAAAGTCTTCCAGGAGGAAAGTCTTCCAGGACGAAAGTCTTCCAGGAGGAAAGTCTTTTAAGAGGAAAATCTTCCAGGAGGAAAGTCTTCCAGCAGGAAAGTCTTCCAGGAGGAAAGTCTTCCAGGAGGAAAGTCTTCCAGGAGGAAAGTCTTCCAGGAGGAAAGTCTTCCAGGAGGAAAGTCTTCCAGGAGGAAAGTCTTCCAGGAGGAAAGTCTTCCAGGAGGAAAGTCTTCCAGGAGGAAAGTCTTCCAGGAGGAAAGTCTTCCAGGAGGAAAGTCTTCCAGGAGGAAAGTCTTCCAGGAGGAAAGTCTTCCAGGAGGAAAGTCTTCCAGGAGGAAAGTCTTCCAGGAGGAAAGTCTTCCAGGAGGAAAGTCTTCCAGGAGGAAAGTCTTCCAAGAGGAAAGTCTTCCAGGAGGAAAGTCTTCCAGGAGGAAAGTCTTCCAGGAGGAAAGTCTTCCAGGAGGAAAGTCTTCCAGGAGGAAAGTCTTCCAGGAGGAAAGTCTTCCAGGAGGAAAGTCTTCCAGGAGGAAAGTCTTCCAGGAGGAAAGTCTTCCAGGAGGAAAGTCTTCCAGGAGGAAAGTCTTCCAGGAGGAAAGTCTTCCAGGAGGAAAGTCTTCCAGGAGGAAAGTCTTCCAGGAGGAAAGTCTTCCAGGAGGAAAGTCTTCCAGGAGGAAAGTCTTCCAGGAGGAAAGTCTTCCAGGAGGAAAGTCTTCCAGGAGGAAAGTCTTCCAGGAGGAAAGTCTTCCAGGAGGAAAGTCTTCCAGGAGGAAAGTTTTCCAGTAGGAAAGACTTCCAGGAGAAAAGTCTTCCAGGAGGAAGGTCTTCCAGTAGGAAAGTCTTCCATAAGGAAAGTCTTCCAGGAGGAAAGTCTTCCAGGAGGAAAGTCTTCCAGGAGGAAAGTCTTCCAGGAGGAAAGTCTTCCAGGAGGAAATTCTTCCAGGAGGAAAGTCTTCTAGGAGGAAAGTCTTCCAGGAGGAAATTCTTCCAGGAGGAAAGTCTTCTAGGAGGAAAGTCTTCTAGGAGGAAAGTCTTCCAGTTGGAAATTCTTCTAGAAGGAAAGTCTTCCAGGAGGAAATTCTTCCGGAGGAGTCTTCCGAAAAAAAGTCGTCCGGAGGAGTCTTCTGGGAGGAAAGTCTTACGGAGGAAAGTCTTCCGTAGGAAATTCTTCCGGAGGAGTCTTCCGGAGTAGTCTTCCGGAGTAAAGTCTTCCGGAGGAATTCAACCTAGGGAAGTCCTCCAACAGAATCTAAGATCTTCCCACAGCCCTCCTCGAAAAAAAAACACATCATCATCAAATTACAAACACACAATCAAAATCCAACCACACCAACTGCGCTCGCAACGAACGCAAAACCGCACCAATGAATCAAAACCTGTGCTCATCAATTTCCCCCGAAAATTCCCGCACAACCGTTGTTGGATCCAGTTTCAATTTACACCCCCCACCACACCCAACTCTCCGCAAAAAGAAGAATATATATAGGCGAAAACTAGTACCACCTCAAGGCACCCACCGACCAACATCGTCGTCATCATCGTCGTTCGTTCGTTGAAAGGAAAGTGCCTTCGGGCGAACTCACGAAACACAAGGGGAGA